AATAATCCAAAAACTATATTTCCTCAAATTGATATTTCCCAGAAATCTATGCTGCCACTATCTCCCTCATACACCTACTATTACTCCAACCACATCGATCAGTCTGGCGAGCGAGATTCACATACCCATAAAACTACCCGCACTAGCTGCCAACAACCATGCAGCAGCTTCCTTTCCCTCAGCAGGCTCTCGCTTCAGTTTCTTCACCGCGCCATTAAATTCCTCCGGAGTAACATTGATCGGCAGTTTCAGCGTCTCATCCTCGCCTTGCGTCCCTCTAGGGTTCAACCACATCCGCCATCTCGGATCGTCTAAACAACAAGAGCATTCGCCTGACCACGACAGCACCAGACGATGAACCACTTCAATGATGAAATGTGAAATCAACCTTCATCTAGCATGGAAATGAGAGTAATTACCCACGACTAACTACATGAGCATACGACAACACCCCAAAGTGTTTAACATCGTGGATCGGCCACTTCAATGAATGACCCCGTTCATGAGTGGATATCAGTGAATCGATTGGAAAATATTTCTCGAGCTCGACAAGGCTCGACCAGTCGGGAAAAGCAATAAAATATTAAATTTTAATCAGACTCATCGGGCGTTCTCTCCAACACAGACTTCAGTCATTTTCTCACTCCCATCCATGGACGCATATACTACCAGTAGTAACCAATAACACCAGTAATATCAAATCCACTGCTCTCTGGACCCTCCCTGAATTCACTCTATCTCGATTTGTCGCAAGAAATGTCGCCATAGTTCGATCTGCAGGAGCGGCATAATTTCGCTTCACCCGACAAGACAACTACTAACCCGCTAATTTAGAAAGCTCTTCAATAGACGCTTCGACTGGCGTCCCTTTAGTAGTCAGATCCGCTTTCCTCTCAGATATATACTCCCCAATAGTACACGACCTGACCTACTCCGTATCTTAGCCGCTCAACCTCAAGATACTACCTTGATAACTCCACAGGTTCGAAAACACTACTCTCATCCAAAGCAGCATCCTCAACATCCCCTATCCACTCTGTCGGCAACAAGAACATCCACAAATGCAAAATCTTCGACCAGTCCAATTCCGAATCCCGAAGTGAGGACAGGTGCTGTAACGCCTGAACAAAACAACACAGTACTATCACTCAATCGTCACCCCTTCTCACGAAAATATGCCAACACATACTATCCTCAAGCCTGCAAGCA